TGGTCTCTTCTCTGCTTGGGTGAGAGAAGCCCGGGTCAGACACACAAACCCTCATTGCTTTTCTGAGGACATACCAAGAGTCTGTGGTAGAAGTGGGAACAAAAGTCCTATCTCTGGTTCAGTGCTTCAACCGCACAAACATGGTTTATCAATATAGATAGCTTTAGATGAAAGATACATCAAAGCATATTTTTGGCTTCTGCCTTCAGAAGTAGCACTAAGTCTCCTGGGGGAATGCAAGAAGTGATATATGCTCCAAGCATCAAAATCCCCATCTTCTTACTGTCTTTCCTCCTTTCTCACACTGGTTGGGCTCACAAGGAAGCCCTTTCTTGAGGTTGTTGTGTCATCTATCCCCATCAGTAGATTTTGGTTCAGAAATGCATTCTTGCTCTTTTCCAACAAAATGCTGCCTGTTTCAACACTGACTCTGAAGATCTGTAAGCTGGCAAAGGATCCAAAAAGAATCATGAACCAGCAGTCACTGTTTACATTGGCCACCTTGTGTAAATGCTGATATTAGCATTTCTGAAAGGATTCATTCATCACTGAAAAGAGGTTTGTACCTGTGAATAAGAGCTTGCCTGGGAGGGCCTGTGTGCTTCCTCTCCTCTATCAACAAAGCTTACCAACACTAAAGATGGTTTTGCAATGGATGTTAATGCATACCTATTATTTCAGGATGAGACTTTTTAGCCACTGAAAATATTCCATGCCTGTTTCAGATGGTGTAATGAAATCATCAGTAAAATTAAAGAAATATCTTACCTATTTTCATGTGTCACGTTTGTTTGTTTGTTTGTTTGGGGAGCCGAATATATATATTTAGAGTGTCTCTCTTGGGCCTTTTTTTTTTAAACTAAAATCTGTGATACAATATCAAGCCCAATGGTTAAATCTCGTGTCATGTAAAATCAAGTCAACCTGCACTAGGAAGAACAATGGCTGAGTAAAACATTCTGCCAGTTCCAAACTATGATGTCTTCTGGGGATGTCAGTGAAATAAACACACTTTTAGGAAGTACCTTTAAGTTTTCCTTACCTCCTGCTGTTTGTCACACTTGTTGCAATTTGTCTTAAATTAGCTGATTTCACACCAAAGTTCATGGTGCTGTTTTGTTTAAAAAAGAGGTTGGTACATTCTGCACTGACCCAGCTGGCATGCCATGAGCCACGGCTCAGAGATGGAAAAGGGCCCCTGGATGGACTGCAGCCAGTGTTTGTTCCATCCTCATGCTGCAGGTCAGGGTCTCTCAGCAGTGGTGGACACATAACAACAGCATTTGTGAGGGAGACAAAAACGTCCAGTCTCTGTGGGATGGCTACATTTTGACTAGGATTGCTTAGGATTCTGCAGGATGAAAATCAAACTCTTTTTCAGGTATGTCACTGTGTTATAACATCTAATATGACATATTTCTTTTAACTTTTAGACTGCTTCACTTCTCAGCTGGAAGCAGCTGAGGGCTACTAGGGACTGCTCCTGGATACTCACACAGCTCCTGGCATGGTATGGTGTGAGTTCTGGCAGGAGACAGGCCATTGCTGCAATTTGAATGCCCATTTTTAAAAAAAAAAAAAGGAAGTCTGGAAGGTAACCTGCTTGCAAGTGCCCCTTTCTTGCAAAAGGTGATGCTTTGAGAGCACTGTGATTGTAAAGCAGAGGAAGAAAGCAAGTGTGAATGAAATGAAATACCAAGGACCAGTCTGCTCCCTTCCATGGGAAGTTCTATGGGAGGGGCATGAGTCTGAGAGACTCCTCTGGTGGAGTTTCTTCTCAGCCCTTTAAATTGTGAGGCAGGGGAAGCTGGGCCAATGACAGATGAGGAACCATGAGGGTCATCCCTGCACCCAGAGAGGTAACACTCACTGCCTTGCCCGGGCTGTGGTGTCAGCATGCAGGTCTGTTGCATGCAGGGAGCAGAAATAACACCAGGGATCTCAGGATCCCTGGTAACGGGGACAGTGATGGACATAAGCAATTTTATTGTAAATGGTTGGAGAAGAAATGCCTGGTCTGCAACAGGCAAACACTTCTCTGCACAGAACCAGAAAAATTTCCCTTCCATCTGGGGCAGATTGCCAGCAGTCTCAAATGCAGTCCTCACGGTATTACTTCCAAAGATGAAACAAGGGATTATGGACACTGCTACTGATGCAGATAATCTTTAAATATAGCTGAAAATTGTGTGGTTTAATACTAACAAACCTTAATGGTGAGGAAGACAAGACAGGTAGAAGCACTCATATAGCATAATGTGATGGCTGTGAGTCATTCTAGCCAGGGTCTTTAGTATAGGAAGTCAAATAAAAGATATAAAAACAAATCTGGGTTTTTTTTTCCTTCCTGGTGAAGGTCACTGCCAGGAATAGCATGGGATATAATTAATGGAGGAAGAAATGTTCCCCCTTAACTTAGAAGTATTGTCTTGCTTTACAGTTTTGTTCTCTTTGGACTCCCGTAACAAACACCAGCGAACACGCAGGTCCTTTCTCCCTGAAGCCGCTGACGGATGTCCCACCCAGGGTGGTGAATGCAATGGAGCATGTGTGCAGTGCTTACAGAGTCTATTAATGGGTGTCCTGCTCCCTGGCAGTCCACCCACCAGGCGATGCACTGAATGGGCCTGCGAGACTGAATGGTGCTCTACGTAACGGCAGCCAATTTTCCTGGTCAACAGGGAGGCACGGTGCCAAGGCTGTGTGTGAGAGCCTACTGCCGGGAGGGTTTCACCCCTTTTCCTCTGTTCCTGAGCCCTGGGGAGGTGAGTTATCTTTTCAGACCTGGCGCAGGTCCTGCTCCCTCAGTTCCTGTGCTTCATGTGGAAGGACACGGATGACACAATGACCACTGCTCTTGCAGTGGCATGGATTGTTCTCTGCTCATCCCACAGAGACTTGGGATGCTCTGGGGTGCTTGTTTGCACCCTGTGACCAGCACTACACTTACACATGTTCAAGGGCAAGGAGTGCTGTGCTACAGTCTAATTCCCTTTCCTCGAAGTGCCCTGTGAGTGGAGACAGGTGAGGAAAGGAACGAGTGCCTCTCCTTCATGTCACCACCCTATGGGCTGGAAACCAGGCAGCTCCAGGTAGCTGAGGGGCTGCTGATCCCTGGGACTCTGCTTTGTTTTCTTCCAGAAGGCTGCAGCAGGGAGAAATGCTGGTGGAAAGCTCGGAGCTTTGCACTGCTGACTAAAGTCTCCTACACGTGACTCTGTCCCATCTGCCACAAAGGACTGTTCACATTTTCCATTCTTGACTCCATGTGGCTGCTCTGAACATCCCAGGTTATCGGTGCACAAACCAGCTGCCTTTCCTACTGCTTGGCTCTTGATAGCCTCTTGACCAGGCCTTCATCGCTGCTCAGCACCCATGCCAGGGTCACTAAGGCAGTTAGCACAGTGTGAAGATACATTTATTTTTGGAGGACTTTTCTTTTGGGAGCCTGGTGGGTAAGAGTTCAGGTTCTCCCTCTCTCAGGAGGTTCCTGACTGTGCAGTGGACTTTCAGAGGTAGAAGCACTGCAGAAGTCCTGAGTATCCTGGAGCTCCCATATAGCACAGGAAAAAACCCATTATGGGGAAGCTGCTAATAGCAGAGGTAAGCTCTTACCCGCATTTTCCACTGGTGTCACAGACTCTGGAGAATCAGCTTGTTTCAGACAGGTTCCCAAACTGCTTTTTAGTGTTTATCCAAAACAAGCCTGTGCATTGACATTTCCTATCCCAAAACGGCCTAACCAAATTAAAGGAATGAACCCCGTTGCACAGATGCTGCTCCATTATGCTTCTACAACTGGAGTGGGGCCAGAACACAATCCCAGCTTGACCCCCCTCTTATTCCCCAAAAAGAGCCATTTGAGGACACTGAAGCTCAGTCCAGATCTAACTTTCATAGCCAACCCCTTTCTGTGTAGTGAGTAAAATCCTAATGCAGTTCAGAAATGTGGCTATGTGTAACTGCTGGGCAATTGACCGGTAGGATTCATAATACTGTTCACTTTGGAGTGTTTGGGTTACAAAAATCCATCCCATCAGGATGGTCTGTCACTTGGATGTCTTCATGTTGACCTAAAGTTTGGCCCTTTCATTTTGCATGCTCTCTCACTTTCCAAGGCATGTCTGTTGCTCTTCTAGCCATCTCCTTATGGTTATGACACTTGGGGCCACACATTCTCTTACCTGAGATTTTCACAGCTGCTGCTCTTTGAAATGGTTGCAAGAGGTGCTGAGTGGGATGGGATGACCTGTTGCTCTCAGGTTTATTTCTTTAGAGCATCTTTAACAAGAAAGACTGTAAGATATATAATTAAAATACTTCTAGATTACCAAGTCTTGTCTTGTCAAACTTCTTGTTATGACTCCTTGTGAATGTGACATTTGTGAGCTGTTTTACCACAGCTTTTAATCACTTTTTGGTGAGAAAAGAAGTTACATAATTCGAGCTTTTCCTTCTTCCTTCTCTTTTTTGCACTCAAATTTACCATATTTTCAGATAGATCGTGCCTATGTCAGCAGCTGGTGTGGTGCAGCAGGAAGCAGATCCACAGAGGTGGCTGTTTTGTGCCAAGGACTTGATATGTCAGGGGATTTACACCAGACTGCCTCAGTTCTGGTTCCCAGGGACCAGACACTCATTAGATGTTGGAGTGTAGGAGTTATGCTGCTGGGGTCCATCTCCTGGTTTCCTTTCACTCGAAGGGAATCCAGTTAAAAAATTGCTCCCTGACGTAAACCAAAATATGGCAAGTGGGACAAACAGGGCATGTGCCTCATGAACTCACTCCTGATGCAAACTAAAGCAAGGACATAGAAAGACCTGTCAAGAGACCAAGGCCTGAGACATCACTTGAGGTCCCACATGCTTTGTATGTGTGGCAAATGGGTCAGTTCTTTGGCTAGTGATACAGCTGTTTTTCTTGGCTGAGCAGCTCTCTTACTCTTTTTTGGATATAGCAGCTAATCTATTCTTCTCTCCTCGTACACTTCCCCAACCTCCCCTTTTGCCAAACCTTCACTAAGCATATACATATATGTGTGTGTGTGTGTGTGTGTGTGTAGGCAGTCATGTCTGCTGCTGGGATTTCCTCCCAAACAATACCTGTTGTGCTGGCCACAGCGGTTCTCTTGGTTCCCATGCTCAGAGCAGTTTGAGTTTCCTGCTGGCTCAGCAGCAAGACTTTCAGAGCTTTTTATACTTATTCTTCTCTAGGAGCCAAGCGGAGGAGCGCAGTTTGCCTGTGAATAGCGAGCTGGCTGGGCAGGCAGCAGGAAGCTTGCATACTAAACCGTGTGAACTTTGAGGAGGGGAGGAAGGAGGCTGGGGGCTGCTGGCTGGGCTTCACGAGGCGTTTGCTGCAGCTCTCTGCCTTATAAACTCATCATCTCAGCACAGGGATGCCTTTCGCCAAAGGAACAATAATATCTGTAAAATGGGAGTGGAAAGAAGCGAGAGAGAGGAAAATGGAATTATATAGAAAACAGGAGGAGGGATTGGAAAGTGGAGAAGAGTGAGGAGGCTTGGGTTTTAATTATTCACATGAAAACTTGTGCACGGGTTCCTTGCACGTAGAGATGCCACTGTACTGCTGGGCTCATGGGCCCTCTTGTTCACCACCCCCTTATTACCCCGACAGTGGTCACACCAACTTCTTTGGGTAGGGGCAGCTTTTCTGTATTTCTCAGACAAAGTCAAAAGCACAGGAATTAAAGCATACTTCTCTCTTCCCCCCTGCATACCCCTTCTACTCCTTTCCGTTGCTGTCAGCAAAAATTAATAAATAAGCAGGTTCCCATTCACAAGGACCAGGAATCATGGTGCGTCTATGAAAGAGTGGTTTGAAGAGCAGCGCTGTGAAACACCAGTGCCTGCTTGTCAGTCACAGGCAAAACCATCCCTGGAACAGGGAGAGAGGTGTTTTGTCAGCTGCTGTGGCTCTGCTGCAGATGCAAGCATGCTGAGGGCATTCTCGGGAAAGAGTGGGAGGTGAGGAGGGGAGAGAGGGAAGGGGAGTGGGGGGAAGGGGAAGGGAATGGAAAGGCGAAGAGAAGGGAAAGGGGAAGGGAAGGGAAGGGAAAGGCGAAGGGGGGAAGGAACCTATCTGCCTGCAGACCTGCTGCCTGCTTCCTACTTGTGTCTGCATAATCAAATGGGGAATAGGTTGTGCCTGTGCTTTGAAAATGGAGTGACAGAGGATCACACATACTGCACTGATGCTTCCTGAGCAAGAGTGGCCTGATATGGGTATTGTGCCATGGTGCCTACTGGGGGGATGGCCCTGTTCAGAGAGAGCCTCTGTGTGTGTGTGATGTAGAGGTGGAAATGTTCAGCAGAGTGACCAACTGGGAGAGGGGGCGAGGCAAGGCTCCGTTAGTTTGTGCCGTAGCGTCATCGTGAAGTGATGAGACCTTCCTGACCTGATCCGAAATAATAAGAACCCCCAGCTTTCCCTTTGTTTCAGAGCACCCTTCTGTGAGGGTGCCCACTACTCCAGGCTCTTGTTCCCCTACCCAGCTCAGCAGCACTCTGTGTCTGGCTCCCAGCTGAGCACTGCACAATGCAACAGGTATATTTGGCACCTGCATCCCCATGGTGCCCCTGCAGAATGAGTAGCCTTCCCCAGAGGCCTGTGAGTGCTGGGAAAATGGGGAGATACATTCCCAGGTCCCAGAGTGGGCTCATGGAGAGCCAGTGGAGATCCTGAGGGAGAGTCACCTGCCAAGCTCATTTAGCTCTGCCCAGGCAGCTTGTGGCAGAGCACCTGCACCTCCGAAGGAGGCAAATCTCTTCACCGTGGTCTTCTTAGAAAGTACAAAAGCAGTCACAAAATTGGGGAATATACCATGAAATTCATGCATTTTCTGTTTATCTTCCCTCCTGACTCAGCAGAGGATCAGTTTAAATTACATGTACTTGATGACCTTGGTGCCTCTGTCTGTTTTTAAGACTATCCATTTCTTGTAAGACCAAATATTTAGTTGCTTGTAAACTCCTGAAAACGTTATCTGTCTACTGCTTAGCTGTTTTTTTCTGTTCTGAGTATCTGTCTCAGGCTGAATACATCTGGGAAGCTTCAGCAAAAAATATTTTTACTTGCTTACAAGAAAGAGATGAGAGAAACAATTTTTTTCTCTTCATATTCAAACATGTTCTTAAAGTGAGCTGTTGAGAAACTCTAGCACTTTCTGCCTCTGAAGAAGAGGCTTGAAATCTGGCAGATATCAGGAATGCACCTTTGGTTGTTTTTCATGGGGGGAAAAATAAGTTGAACTGAGAAATCTTAGGAAATAAAAAAAGCCTCAGATCTCAGACATTCAACAGAAACTTCTTAAGAGTTAGAATCTGAATTCTCTGAAGGCACTTGCTCAGTGGAAACTTGTTAAAGTCTGGTGGCTAAATCATAGATGATGGTGTGGCCGGCACAGAGCAGCCTCCTGCTGCAGGTGCAGAGCAGCAGCTCTTTGACCTTGTTTTTCTGTGCTGGCAGGGTCACTGTAGTGCTGGAGATACTCTTGGCTGTGCTCCTTTGCCGATACTCAAACACGCAGGAAGGCTGATGCTGACTAGGGCTGGACCTGGCCGAGGGAGGAAGAGAAGGAGAGAGGGAGTCCTACTGCAGCACAAGAGCTGAGGGCACCCTCCCTGGAGAGGGGAACTAATGACAGGTGTGGAGGTAGACGTGGGAGCAGGACCAAAGCAGAAGACAGGCTGAAAGGACCAGGAGAAGCAGGAGGAGTCAGATTTGGGAATATATCTCCTCACCAGATCATGCATCCTGCAGAACCTGGGACACAGCAAACCCAGGGATTTCTGCAGCACAGTAGTTGTCTGTTGTTAGCAAATATTTGGGGTAAGCTGTGGGCTCAGGCTGCGAATGAGTTCTGCCTGCTCCCTCAGCAGAGGTTGTTGGGCTATCAGTATTCCCAGTTATTCTTCTTTTCCAGCATGATGGAATTAACAGCTGAGAATAAGAGCCAGTTCTGCCAGTGAGTCATGCGGTAGACAGTATGATGCCACATGATGGGATTCCTGCATTTTTATTTCGGTTTGCCATATGCAAATCAAGGAAATGACACAAACCTGACGTAGACTGAAAGCATGGGAAGCTTGTAGGGTCAAGCGCTGGGCAGTTAGAAATGCTTGATTTAACACTGCCCTTGCCACCTGAGTCCCATCTGCACAGGCATCATGATAGGGCTGCTTTTAGCTACAGGATCAAATGCATATGTAAATATTTGTTTTTCCCCATAACTCTCTCTTCTAATGCCCAAGGCAGACGGTTCTCAGCGAGGGAGTGGAGCACGTATGGGGAAAGGTCCTTGTCCTGCCTAATTGCAGCTGTGCAGGATGAGAGGATCGCTGCTTCACCTTCAGGCCACAGCAGACTCCAGCCGTCGGCATTGGGGATGGTAGGCAGCACCTGTGTCCCTGGCCTGCAGCAAGGCCAAAACAGATGGAGTCCTCAGTTAAATTATCTACCAAACTCAAACAAACCCCCATGAGGCAGGTGCAGAGTGAAGCTTTGTATAATTTGTAACTTGACCACAGATGGGAAAACTTAGGACCCTTGGGAAGGCACATCCCCCTTCCCTGGCTCTATCAGTACCAGCCTCTGAAGACAGACATGTTTAATCTCTTGATTTGAACAGAGCAAGCTAACATATATCTTCCTAATCTTATTCTAGGAGGCAGTTGAATTATTTTAGCTAAAAATTGCCAAAAGAGTCTGCCTGAGGCAGACATCCAGCATGGTTTATTTCAGCTCAACCGAGCCATCATTAATGGCAACAGTTAAGCAAATGCAGACAGCGCTCACAGGAGGAAATGAGAAACTTTGCCTCTGTGGATGGCCACACCATGTGTACATGAGCACATGAAATCCTGCTGCTACACATCCCGTTAGCTGATTGCTACAGGCAAATACCTGAGCTTGTAATGTGGCATTTGCAGGCTCCAGGGATGGACTGGCCGTTTTACAGAGTTACTGGACACTTTGTGTTTTGCTGTTGAATCAAATGTATTTTAGTGATGGTAAAGCGTGAGAGAAACACTTTGGGTTTATCTTTCCCTGCAGGAGGTGGAGGTGCAGAGGGACGGTCATGCTGGCCCTGCTGGTGTGCAGCACACACGGCACGTGTGACAGGTTGCTTTGCAGAAGGATGTTGCCATGGTGGCTCTGAGCAGTCCTGGGTGCTCATCTGACAATCTCTACACCAACGGAGGTTTTGGTAGGGGGTGGAAGAGGCTGTGAAGGTCAGCATCAGGGGGTTAGCAGCTCTTACGGCCAGTCTGCATTTTCCCTATTCTGCAGGAAGAGGTCTTTTCCTTTCTTGTTACGCTTTATCTAGAGCTGTGTAAACACTCTCTCCTTGATGTTGACACCTTCAAATGATTTTATCTTCTTCTTAGGGATTTACTTATCCAAACTGTACTATTTAGTTATTTAATCTTCCCTTTAGTTATTTGATTGTTGTTCATTGTTGAATTCTTTCGAATATGATGTCTCCTTGACACTCGAGTGCCTGCAGTTGCTTTCTCTGTTCAGAGCATGGCTCAGACCCAGCAGCACCCTGCAGTGAGAAGCCATCTCCCTTCTCCTCTATGATACAATATGTTCTTCACCTCTCTGCAGGTCAAAGTCAGACCAAGTTCATTTTATAAACCAGCATGTAGTTTGCTACTGCTTCTCATCCATTTGTTAGGCCCCTTTTGGCAACTGCCATGGGTTATTTTTCTGAATGTTTCCTGGCATTGCCCATGTCCTAGGCAGGAGCTGTTAGATGCTGTTTTCCTTCCCAATCTCCCATTTCAGAAACATTTTTTGGTGAGTTTGAAATCATAACCAGAAACTGAAGCTCGTGCACTCGTTCTCATTGCTGCATCCAAAATGACCCTTTAAAAAAGAAAAAAAAAATGGTTTACATTTTCATAATTCTTCAGCTTGGGAAATGATTCCTCTCCATTCACAGCCACACTGGACACTCCCTGCGGTCTGAGCAGGCTGACAGTTTGGTTATATGGAAAGGGAGTGGCATTAAAATGGTGAGCAAGGCTCCTCTGGATAAGTTCAGCCCTCTGTTATTCTCAGCACTAATGCATTCTGCTGAAACTCATGCAGAGGTTTTAAGAGCTGGTTATTTGGACAGGTAAAAGCTTTGGAATGGTATAGGTACTCTGCGCAGGTGACATTTAATTTTTATATTCAATGTACATTAGGACATGAAAAGACCCAATTTCAACCTAATGTGCAAATGACACCTAACCCCAACCTGTGAAACATGCACTACCTGAAGAGCATTCACTAGGGTGTTTATGCAGATTTCATCTTTCTTATGATACCTTTTTGACTATTTCTTCTCTGCAGGCATTAGAAGTGGAAATAGGATGGGGTTTGTACCTAACCTCATAAACAGGGAAAGGAGGGAACAAAAGGTCTTTGTCAGTGTAGCTCCCCAGTGCCATTGCGTTAAACCACAGTGAGCTGGAAGCTTCTCCAAAGCAGTGGAGCCAAATGTCCCACTCTGTTTGCCTGTGGGTCATGAGTTATTTTTTCTGCTTTTGAGATCTGAACTCTTCAAAACTTTGTCTTGTATGGATAAACAAAAGCTCGCTACAGCCTATGGAGAGACCTGGAAACCATTAGGTGCAGAAACATCACAGGACTCCAAAAATGAATGCAGACTTCTTTTTAAGTGAAAATAATATATACTTTTAAAGGGCAGAACATGGAAATACATTCACAATGGTCACTATCAGGAGCTGCTGGCAGTTTGTCTGAACAGAAAAGTCCTTTTCTTGGAGATTTTTGCTACCCCTCAGTCTTCTGTCCATTTCAATGTTGTTACTTGCAGTGTTTAAGCATCATTAAGTTTAAATGCATAAATTTTCTTTGGCTATTCAACCCCAGCCGCTTTTGGGAAGGAATTGGCCAGAATCCCTGAACCTAAAATAATCAAACGTCTGTCTTCCCATTAAAAAAGCCGCCATTTATCTGACAAGCAGTGAAAAATGGAATAGGTAGCTCAGTATAAGCATCGTTTGAGAAACCTGTTGTTGCAAAACCAGGCAAGTGGCTTGCACATAACCAGATGATACCTTTGCCAATACCCAGGTAGTTACATGGCATGTCAGTATATTTGGTTTCTTAACATGCTTTACTTTTATTTTCAGTCTCTTGGTTTCTATCACCCTCTTTAGAAATACTCCAGCCACAACTTGTAACCTTTACAGGCTCATCCAAGGAGCATGGCCTTTCAGACACTCCTTTTGAGAATATTTATTGTGCTTCAGGAGAAGTTGTCTTTGTTTTGAGATTGTTCTGGGCATGAGAAATAAAAATTAAAATGGAGATGGTGGCCAGCACAAAGAACCAAACAAAATAATTTTAATGAATTTCCATACGTGCTAATCCACCCTCCCCTGCAGGAAAAACAACTCTCAGATGAATGAAGCATATGGCACAGAAGATGGAGTGCCAATGCCAAGTTTGTCTTTGCCTTAGCAGAACTCTCTGCAAAATGCTGAAGTTGCAGATCTTCTGAACGTGCTCATTGAGAGAAAGGGGAAGGCCTATTCCTAATGCCTTTTTAAATGGGATTGTGCACTCTCACTGCTTAAATCCTCATTTGGTAGGAAATTATTGTGGGTGCAGTGCTACCTCCAATGCTCAAACTACCTGCCATGGAGAGCAGTGCACGTTGCAGCAGCAAAGAAAACCCATCAATGAGGTGGGCTAAATATTTGAGAAGGATCTGAAGCCCACACTAACCTGCCTTCTGTGTGCACATGGGCTAACTAGCTGTGACGAATGCCCTTTTGGCAAGCAGGCATACCTGCTGCTGTGTGGTTAGACACCCTGTTCCTGGCCATGGTTTGTTATCCAGTTGGTGTTTATGTTGCTGGGAATATTTGAGGACATGACTGTATTTGAGCTGTCCAGAAGTGAGGCATTCAGTGTAAGTCCCTTCATCATGAGTTGTTCTACAGTGAGCAGAGAGACAGTCATTCCAATCCCCCACAGGTTTTTTATCCTAAAATAGGTGTGGAGTGTTGTGAAAGGTGCCTCTGTCATTCCAGAAGCTCAGAGAAAACCTTCAATGCCAGCTAAGCCCGTGTCCAACCATTACAGGTCTGTCTACTCCCAGCTTGTGAGGCTCTGGGAGGACATGCTGCTGATGGGTCCTGATGTGGCACAGGTAAATGGAATGTCACCACCAACCTGCTCTGCTCTCTTCTGAAGGATGTAGGATGCTGGAGGAACTTCAAGTAGCTGTCAGCAGTACACCTCTCCACGGTTGGGTAACAGCTAAAGACGAGTGTCTAAATTAAGAAGTTAAGCATCTAAAGCCTTTATTGAACCCATCTCTGTGGGGACTGAAGCTGAGCAGACTTACATGTCAGGAAAAAGTCCCCTGTTTCATAAGGCAGGGATGAATTCCCCACCTTTGGCCCCATGTGTCGCCTCCCACAGTGAGTAAGCAATGCCTCTCTTTCCAGAAAGTAGAAGATACCTGACACAGTGATGAAATTAATGGGTCAGGGACCTCTTTTGTTTAAATGAATGCTGGGAGACGCAGAAGTAGAGTTGATTTTTCACATGGTTAATGTTCCCAATCCTCTTTTTAGTCCTCTCATGGCAAATGTGTACTTTGCAGCTCAAAGTCGCATGAATCTCTGCTCAGCAGAAATGTAAATGTTTTGATAAAACTGTTCTTAACAAGTTTAATTCACTTAATCAGCTTGATTAACTGCAGAGCTTTATCGTCTTTAATTGGGAAGGATTTGCTATAAATTAACATTTTTTGTAATTTTATGAAGAATGTGGCAGTGTGCAGGAGCTTGCTGCCTTGGCGGTGGCACGGGAGATGCTTGTCTCTGTGCCAGCTGTTCCCCTGCAGCCTCACGTTTTAGAGCCCTGGAGACCTTTGGGTGCTGAGTCTGCCCACAAGGCCAGGCAGATGCTGGTCAAGGGGCAGGATGGACATGCAGCTGGAAGTGTCTCAACAGATACTATTTCTTTTCTCTTGTGTTTGTATCTCCTAGATGATTAATCATCCCTTTCAGGAGAAATGCAGCATGCCTCTTCTTCCAACAAGTCCCACATAAAGCAAGCACGGTTGTCCACAACAGCCCTCTCCTTGTTTTGGTTCATAACCAGCCTCAGCCTGCACTGAGATTTCAAAGGCTGGCTGAACAAAGTCCCCAGGTTTATGAGTAGAAAGAGGTGCACATGTCATCTTGGGTGCACATCCCATCTGGTCTTTCCTGTCTTCTATTTAATGTGGCAGACTGACAGGCTGTAAAATATGTCCAGCTGGAAAGAAGATAATTTTGGTTTACTCTGTCCAGTCTCATTTTTCAGAACTTAATATCCAGTTGTGTGAAACCTCCCAGGCCCTGGAGGCATAGTATTAATTTTTTTAAATAGGAGGTTTACTGTCCACATTACTTTTTTCTGTGCCTTTTGCTCAGTATCTCAGACTAGACAAACAAAGGAGAGATTGGAAACAAGTGAACTATCCCCTTAAATTTAGAGTCTGCCCAAAGCCCTGGAGCAGGCAGAGCATCAACACAGTGTCTGCTCCGGTGGGTTTGCTCTTTGCTCGGCAAGGCCTGTTCTCCCTCGCACTGCCGTGCTGCAGAGCCGCAGTGCAGCGGGTCCCAGGGGCCTTCCCATCAAAGTGCATGGGCAGAAAAACATGGTAACACATCTCTCCTCAGACAGCTTTGCACTTTTACTCCCTGTCTGACTCTGAATTGGAATGGTCCCTGAGAAAACAGTGTATTTCACAAGAAAGGAAGGTTTTTCATCCTTTCCTAGAACTTCCATGGTCCTTCTGCTTGCATGGCTCTCACAGGCCACTGTGGTGTAAGAGGAGGCATTTCTAACAGCAAACAACCCAGTTCCTCTTTCACCTTTGACATTTCTACATTTTGACATTTCTACATTTTGACATTTGACGTTTTTGTTTTTTTCTCTTTTTTTTCCACAGACTAAACATTCACATGTCATATCCTGTTCAAGGAGTTGTTTCAATGGATGCGCTGCCAGCAAAGACACTTGGGTTTCGATGGCTGATCCTTTGCAATTGTAACGGCATTTAATGAAAGGTCTTGTCGTTGGAAGGACAAAATATCCTTTATCCAGCTTCAACTTCTGAAAGAAACACCACAAATATTTTTGGATTGGATGTGAAATGTTGTGTAAATTCTGTAATACCAAGGGGGAATATCAGTCCTTTCCTTATTAACAAACTATATATCAAAACAAGAGTGCTTAAAGCCTAAATGATTTTATACACAATGAATTCATCAGAGTTTTACATCCCCAGTAAGGGGAGTACTTAAATATAGAAGAAACATGCAAAAATAATTTAGATATGAAACTAAAGAAATATTTGTGTATTTGGTTGGTTTCTTTTTAAAATTAGATTTAGCTTTTCTTTTCAATTCCTCCTCTCTGAAGTTGCTTGCACTTTGAGGCTGTGCATCCTGAGCCCCGGAGGGCTCTGGCAGGAACAAGCAGGGACACAGGAGCCCTGAATGACTTATCATAAAGGCAGAGATTCAGAGCTGTCCTTCAAAATTATTTCAGTTCATGGTGCAGCTGCTGCAGCGTATGTTGAAGGCCACAGCTTACTGGTGCAGTCAGAGGAAGTGGTGAAAACCTCCATCAGTGTTCAGGATGCAGCATGGTTTGGGTGGCTTGGAAAAAGAAAGTTTTGTTGCCTGTTACTGGATCCAAAGGCAAAGCAGCTACGTGTTGCTGATTACCTCCTGGGAGAAGTACCAGGTGACTGACGACTTTTAAATTGCTTTTTCATTGTGCTGTGTGAACTGCACATAGGGATGGGCTGCACTGGAGGCTGTTGCATCACAGATCATGCTTTCAGCAGAGCTTTAAAAAAAAAAAACCGAAAGTAAACAGTGTTATTTTCAGCCTGAACAGTGAGCAAATTCTCAGTATCTAAATGAGAGCCCTTGAAGTAAGCTCCAGGTGCTGCAGGAAGTGGTGGAGGTGACTCAGTAAATGTCACACTTCTCTCCAAGTCAGTTCTGAAGCGGTGTCCAGAAATAACATTTCATAGGCATCTGGCAGTTTGAGATGGCCCTGCTTTTTCATGGAATTCCACACTAGCGCTACCTGGCACCTTCAGGATTTTACACCCCCTTTTTTGGCCACAAATATTGGCCTTTATCTTCCTCTCTTTTTTCTTCACTCTAAAGACAGAGATATGACAAGTCCTGCAGATCTCTCAAAAGTGAGAGTTGGCCTTAGCCCTGCTGTCAACTGCCCCAGCTAGTGGAGAGGGACAACACTCCTGGAGCCTGGCTCTGCCTGCTTGTGCCTGGGAGAGAGCTCTAAGGAGGTGCAGAGTGGCGGCATGCAGCAAGCTGCACCTCATGCTGGCAGTGAAAGCAATGTGGAGCCCCTTGCCTTAGCATGAACTGTCACCTCCTGCTTTCACAATGATGGGGTTTCATATCCTTTCTGGAGCTGCCTGGGCTGCAGGCCAGCCTGCCCAACCGCCTTGTCTCAGAGGAGGCTGGGGCTTAGCTGGATCCCCCAGCTGGACCACCTCCACCCCCATGTGCAGGCCTTTGCTCAGCTGTGGGCACCACAGCCTGTGGGAGCACAGTGTGGGCTGGGAATGGAAATGGGGATGACATGGGATGGCAGGGAAAACTTTGTCCTGTCCCATGGGATCCCAGTGTGCACAGGCAGGGGCTGTCTGTGCCCACCCTCCTCTGCAGGATTGATGAGCATGTTGTTCTAAACATATTTCCCCTCCTTCCCCTTCTCAGCCAGTGCCCTCTGTGCTTGTGCCTTGTGTCAGGATGCTTTGTCCACCTAAGTTGCTCATACAAGTCCCTTAGCATTTGGTAAGAGTGGCAGTGGGGCTCTTCCACTTCCATGCCCAGGGCAGATGGATGAGCTGGAAGTGCCTGCATTACTGGCTCAGTTCAGGCTGGGGATGCCCTTTTGAGCAAACATCCTGGTTGCTCCCACACACTCCACTTCTGTTCGCCTTGTGGAGTGACCTCGCAGTACATAGGCTGGGTTTCTGGTGGAGGAGACTAAACTGGAAAATGCTCCCAAGTAACACCCTGTCTACCTCACGGCTCAGTTCATTGAGCCAAACTGCAGCTACTCTTAAAACGTGTGCTACATGGGTGTAAAATCCTCAGTCCCAAGTGCTTTGCCCTACAGATCTGCTCCTGTTGGACTGCATGACTTTGTCTCACAGCCTCAACCCTTGGGACTGCTGCTGAGGTACGGGAGCAAACCTGAGCTCTCTTGGTAGTGGCCACAGCCCAACCTTTTTGGGACGTTATAGACTAAAACTGGCCCCAGACAACTTTGACACACCAAAGTGTCAAGCACAGCAGTTCAGCAGTGTTGGCAGAAACCCACAGTGCCTGGACAAGGCAGATAGGTGGGATGGGAACCACTACAACTGCCCCAGAGCGAGTCCTTGGGATCTTTGTCTTCAGTTCTCTGCTGCAAATGGGGATCACTACATTTCTGTACCTGACTGGGGTATGATGGGGGTCAGAGGGATCTTGTTGTCCTTGAAGGACCCAGGGGCACCACAGTGAGGGGCACTACAGAAGCACTTTGGTGGCAGCACCCTCAGCCACGTCTCCATGCCATGCCTGTGATCCCCAGACTGGAGGCAGAGGTGCAGGAGGCTAGACAAAAGGCACAGACGTCATGGGACAGATTTTGTTTCTAAACACTCAAACATCACAGGTGGTGGGGTTTTTGTCTGCATGTCATTTTAGCCCAGTAAGTACAGAAAATGGGGACTGCTTTGCTTCTGACTTACACTGAGGGGATTGTGTGTGTCCTCATTATGCATTGTGTTTCCTAGCACAGAAAGCAAGTTTTCAGGGCTTCTGATATTCTGCTTCAAAAATTCCTACCTTCTTTTTTTACTTAGATGAAGGAACTCTTTGGAGAATGATGTCACCTGAACCTCAAATACTCAGAAGTTTTTGATCATGAGTTTTGGATGGCTTCAGGGTCAGGCTTGCTGATTTACAAAGCGTATACACACACACTTCAAAATTGTAAAATATGGAAGCAATTTGTGTATGCTTGGGAGAGGTGCTCACAGGCTTGAAGTTTTGGGGTTTTTTTGCTGTGTCTTTACAATTTCTGAGTCTCTGGGGATTTTTACTGTTCCTTTCAAGCAGACACAAATGGCTTATGCGGAGCACGAGGCCTGGCCCTTGGAGTGTGGGAGTAGGCAGCTCTGAGAAGTGATCAGCCCTAGAAGCAGCTTCTTGTGCAGACCCTTCTCAGTTTTCTCTGGGAAGGAGCCAGCACAGAGCACCCTGTCTGCTTCTGAGAGCCCATCCGAGACCACGGCCTTACGATCTCCAAACTGCTGCAATACCAGGGTCGCACTTGTACCCTTTCCAAGCAGCGAGGGCAGACAACAGCTGAGTTGGCAGGCTTGGCAGCCCCTGACTGGTGGGGCAGGCTGTGCCTCTCTGACCTTTATAGTGGGGTCAGCCCTGCAAGCTGGCCAGCTCAGCTCCCCCTCTGCTGTGGCTGCTGGGGGGAAAGAAACAAAATGTCCAGGCAGATTTCCCTGAAAAGGTCAAAGTGGTGCAGCTCGGTGGTGCTGGCAGAAGGGGGTTTCAGCTTCATTCGTGGCACAACAGCTGTGAGCTGTGAGCTCACCCTGGACCCTGGTATTGGCTGTGGGGGGACCCCAACTGCTGCTCACCCCAGCGCTGGCATATTTTGGGTCTGGAGGGGCACCCTGGCATTGCACACAGCTCGCTGGGGGCCTGGCAGCTGCAGTTTCCTGCCTGCTGGTGCAGGGGATGATTCAGAGCTGCTCAGCAGGGCAGTACAGGGGAGAAGCACAAAATGCCCCTCAGTAGGCAGGCACAGGGGTGGGAGCAGGGCTGGGGGACGCACTAGTGCCCAGGCTGGCGCAATAACACGAGCCCAGGACGTGCTGTGGGAAGCGGTGCGGGGCCAGCTGTCCTTGCACTGGCTCACTGTTTACATCAATCCCCCCAAAACCCAGGGAGCACTTGCACGCGCTGGCCCCCACCAGGTGGCTGTGAACTATCCCCAAGCATTTCTGCGGGACATTAGCAGGGCTGTGGACTGTGGGCGATGTGGCTGTGCCTGCTGCCCCCCTTACAGGTGTGAGGCTACTTAAGCAGCACTTTGCATAGTTTCTCAGAGGGAAGGATTTGGAAAAACAGAAAAGGGGAAATGCAAATGTTTTCCTTTTTTTTTCTTTTTTTTTTTTTTTTTTTGCTAGGGAAGCCACAGGCTTACGAAGTCACCATTCATTTTAGCAGCCAAAGCAGCTGCACACAGCAGATTTGGTGACCGGACGCTGCGGTCTGGTTGTGTGTGTAGTTGATGCAAAGCTTGGAAAATAATAAACACAAGCTTCCCAGAGCAGGGCACGTCCGTTATTGCGTGCACGCTGTAATTCAGGAACTAGCAGATGTCTGAGCTTCGTGCCCGGCCTGACAGAGACATAAGAAGGGAACTGGTTCAGGGTTTGTGCACAGCTGCGCTGGTCAGATGACTCTGTCAGCTGAACCTGCCTCGGAATCAGGCCTGATTTATCATAGCAGGGACTCTGACCTTTGTCTGGTCACAAAAATACCATCTTGGAAAGCTATCTGAAGGCTTTGTAAAGAAGGAGAGTGATGGTAATAATAGTTCAGGGGCGTCCCTGTAGAGGACTCTTTGCCTGCCGGCTGTGATGCACAGCCTTCTCCCTCTGCGTGTCTCTCAGCAGGGCTAGTGAGAGGCAATCACAAAAGGTGTTTTCCAGGGGCTTGTCTCATGGGATGGTTAACATTTTTGTTTGTGTTTGTTTGGAGGTAATGGGGCATTGCTCTGCCTGGTTTTTATTCCCACCTTTAGGCAAGTGCACCTTCAGGTCCACCACCTTCAGCCTTGCCTGCAGTGTGAGTTGCTCAGACCCACGACCAGCCCATGGCTGTTTGGTGGCCAGAGTGACACGAGTTTGCAGCTGCCTTTGATCCTGTGCCAACAAACCCAGTAGACATCGACAACCTCACCCCAAGCTGAGCAGGCTGGGCTATGTTTCTCAGCATCAGGGCCACCTTGCTTGGAACTTAAAACCTGGGCTCAAGCTCTGCTCTCATGTGGCAGGGTGGCCAAAGGCTGTCTGAAGATAGCTCTGCAGATCAGCGTGGCCTGGGCTTGGCCACATCTCCAAATATAGCTGAAAAAGAGAACTGGAGAAACCCGTGGATTTCCTTTCAACCTCATCTGCCGTGGCTGGGCACACTGTGCTGCAGGCTGCTGTGGCCACAACCAAGTTGTTAAAATGCTCAGTCAGAGAGCCCAAAGCTGTTTAGGCAGGGCTCTGGGGTGCCTTTCCTACTCTTCGGTGAGACCTTGAAAGAAAGCAGGCTGTGCCTTTTGGGTGTGAAAACAGGAGAGCGTTTTCTTTAAAATGAAAGTGCTGCTTAGCAGAGTTACGTATTCACCAGTGTTCCTTTTCTTTCAAAGTCCAGAGGGTAATTGTCTTTGCCTATTGTGTAAAGCGATAGGGACTTACCATTTGCAGGAAT